GGGGGGGGTTTCTCCTCTCTGAGTGACACCAGCTACTGAAACCAACCAGGTGCGCCCAGACGCGCAGGAGCTTCCCGTCAAAAATCACCATCATCAACTTTGACAAGTTCGTGCCTGAAACAGTTCCGGGTGTGACCGCACGGGGGCGCTGAACTCTGCAAACAGTTTGGACAGGGGCCAACAAGGTCAGAGACCTGGGGGCTACATGGGACCGAAGCAAACCTTCAGTCTGGGCGGTCATAATGTTTTGACGCGAAGCAGACTCACCTGGTTGAAACTATTTTATTACTCGTCAACGAGCGCAGCTGCGTCATTGAAGCCATTTTTATGTTGGTTGTGGCGGCCATCTTGACTCAGGCAGAGTCAGTTGAAGGTGCCCAGCCTGTACCAGGGGCGATTCTAGAATCTGGTGTTTAGGGGTGCTCATAGCCCCCAGTGCTGACAATGGCTCTTGGCATGAACAACGTGTAGCCCATTGGCATCAGAAACATTCGTAATGGGGGGGCAGAGTGGTGGGGGTGGTCCATAAAATTATGAATAAAGTAGATGCCATTTCCTGCATTCTGGTGTGTTTTAACAGGTTTTTAAACATCTACGTTCACCTACATAAGTAAACACTTGATTCAATAACTAGCAAGCTAGCGGCGTGCAATACAGACGCGTTAGCTAAAATGCTACAGACGTAGCGTTCTGCTTTACATTACGCAACCTAATAAACGCTTTGTGCAAAATCAGTTAAATGGTCATAACAAAAATAGACCAAACTTACGCAACCAGAAGTTACAACATATATCAACATAGAAAACACACGAAACAAAAGACAACTAGCTTTAAGCATTAACCTTTAAATTAACCGTATACAATGTAATTATGACATAAAATGGAGGTTTCACCTGCAGTTACCTTTGTACAGATGAACATGTGCTACTTCCTGTTTATCGCTTTTGTAATCAGCTGATCATGAGGTCGACCACCGGGCTTTTTTTTTTTCTTTTTACTTTATTCTTCAGGGGTGCTGAGTTAAAATTTAGCTGTGCTTGAGCACTCCAACAAAGAGGCTAACTAGTAGTGGCCCATGAGATATTTTGCTAACAATGTTGAAGACAATGTAAGGGTGTCATGCAGTGCGTGTTGCTCAAAGTGGGAGGTGTGAATGATTTTTAGCTACTTTCACAGCAAATCTTTGGTAACTTGTTCTAAAAAATAAAATAAAAAAAGCAAATTAGAGCCATGTGTTGTGCTTTCTAAGATCAGTTGGCTGTGGCGGCCATCTTGAACTGGGTTGACTCCCAGAGTAGATCAGCTGTAGATCCACACCCACTGATTTGTTTCATGGAAACAAAATTTGACTGGAGAGCCACTGGTTGATATTTTGCTAAAGAAAAATATATTTTAAAAGTATATTTTTTGAAGACGGTTCCAAGCTTGGTTAAAAAAATAAAGTGTTTTGGAATATCAGGCACACTTTATGCGCACTGGCACGTGTCACAAAATATTTACATCAGCTTAAAAGGTGCAGAATTTAGTTGGATTTCTTTAAGCATTTATTGGGCAGCCACCTATTATTATCCACCTGCAAAGGATCTTGCTCTTCTTTCAACTTTAATGCTGAAAAAGGTTGAATGAATGCGGCCTGAATGTGTACCCCCACAAACGTTATATCAAAATGAACGGCTCGGCACAGTGTTACTTTAATTGGCATTTTGAGTTACCATGGCGATGTAATTTACAAACAAAGACGCCATTTTCCTCATTGAAAAACACTGATGTAACGCTTAGCTTCTAACTACCACAGTGAGGTCACATGACCTAGCGTGGAGAAGTCCCTGAACAAAACACTGATTAACTCTTGGAGCCATTTTGGCTCAAGATGGCTGCCACAGCTACCTCAAAAAACACAAAATTGGCCATAACTCTGTCAGTCTTTAAGATACTGAGCTGAAATTTGATATGGTCGTAGCTGAGAGCGATTTGTTATACATTCCTAATGCAAATTAAAAATCCAACATGGCCACTTTTGCTAAAATGGAATAAAATATGATAACTCAGCTATTTTAAAAGATGTTGAGCTGAAATTTTATTTGGTGGTACCCGACAGTGATGCACAACACACTCTGAATTCAAATCTTAACAATTCAAGATGGCTGCTAAAGCTAATTTCAAATAGATATAACTCTGAGGTTTTTAGAGCTGTTCAGTTGAAATTTGGTCTACAGGTATCTGAGAACAATCCCTGATAGACTGAGTCCAAATCAAAAAGACAAGATGGACACCATAGCTTAAAAAAAAAAAATGACTATAATGTATTGATTTTTTTTTTTTGTTGTTGCCATATTGATCTGAAATTTGGTTTAATGGTAGCTGAGAGTGAAGCCCAACATACAGGCAAATCAAAAACTGAAAATGACCGCCACATGGCAGTCCCCATCAAAGTTTCTCAAGGAACTTTCTTCATTATAATTCTGCCGTCACAAAGTAAAAACTTATTTTAGTCCAAAATCTTTAGCTTTAGACATCCAGGGTTTTAAATTTACACTTCGTGTCCCGTCGAGACTCATCGACAAAATACAACTTTTCACTGACTTAATGATGGTTTTCACTGAAGGACACCAGGGGCTGGATGGAGAGTGTTCAGGGTCCGCTTCTGGTCCTCAAACTGGGTTTTCTTTTTTCTCCCATCTGTGTCCGACTTCCTGAGAATTACAGGCAGGCCTTCTTCCACGCTGATCGAGACATGAGCGTTGAATTAGAACCACTCCTGAATGAGCGGTCAGAACGCATTACGAGCACCGTCTCCTTCCAAGAATTTTGACAATTTCTTTGTTGCGCAACTCGTTGGCTCAAAGCCACAATCTCTGGCACGTTTCGAACATGAGCATCAGATCAGTGTAAATCTGTGCGGCCGTACGCCTGAACATCCTTGAATGCAGCTGTTTGGACTCGGTTTCATAGAAATTGTTGACTTTCTGGACTTAGACACGAGTCTCTGATCCACAAATGCACGCAGAGAAATCAAACTTACTGTATGAGAGACGTTTGCTGTGATCTTCTCTGAAAAGGAATCAGGTCAAACGGGCAAAAATAAATCTGCACATAACACCTGCGGCGGTTCGTGTCCAAGAATACGCAGCTACAGTCCCAGAGGAAATCAAAGGAAACGTTGTCTGTATCCAAAAGAAACATCTGAGGAGGAAAACTGCTTCACCTGAAGTGAATGTGCCGGAGAGAAACAAATCAAAACCAGCTGGCAGCTGAGGTGACAAACTGTTCATCTTGAAGCACGGCGGTGGAAATGTCATGCTTGGGTGTGGTTTGGAGTTAAATTGTGTCCTGGTGATGTTAAGTTAAATTGTATTATGATTTAAAAACTGAAACGTATCAATCCCCGGCACACACAAAAAGAAAACAAAGATGGAGGTTCAGAGAGGAGCAGGGAAGAGTTAAAGGTCCACTGACCAGTGAGTCAAATCTGGATCAACTTAAATTAAGATCAGGGCTTTTAAAAGTTTAAATGTTTGCAAATTTCAGCAGGTTGTTAGAATGGGACAATGAGTTTAAACATCCTGAAATATTCCAAGTCTTAGAGGCAACCAGGTTAAATACTGCCTATAAGGTAGCCACCTATCCAAGATGGCCGCCTGAGCTAAAGAGGAAATATAGAGCTATATATAGATATTAAGCTGAAATTGGGTGTGGTGGTAGCTGAGAGCAATTCCCAATAAAAACTGACATCAAATAAAAAAATTCTAGATGCTCAAAGCTACATTTACATGGCTTAACTCAGCTATTTTGACACAGACAGAGCTGACATTTGGTTATAGCTGCAAATCTTCCCCATCACTTACTGAATCCAGATCAAAACTCCAAGATGGCTACCATAGCTTAAAAGATTAAAAACGACTATAATTCATTGATTTTTTTGTTGTTGCCATATTTAGCTGAAACTTGGGATGATGGTAACTGAGGGTGAACTTCATCACATAGTCCTGTCAAATCAAAAGTTAAAAATGGCCGCCACATGGCAGTCAACGTTTCTCAAGGAACTTTCTAGTTCTTTAATCCAAACAACTTCTTCTTCTTGTTGTTCTTCTTGTCGTTGTTCTTTTTGTTCTTCTTGTTGTTGTTCTTTTTGTTCTTCTTCTTGTTGTTCTTTTTCTTGTTGTTCTTCTTCTTCTTGTTCTTCTTGTTCTTCGTCTTCTTGTTGTTGTTCTTCTTGTTCTTGGCCAGAAAGCTCCCGACATGGACGGGCTCACGGTGGATCACTGGTCCGCTACAGCGGTCATCACTGTCCCGCCCAAAAAAGGGAACCTGCAGGAGATGGAGTTTGTGCCCGGTGTCTCTTCTGTACCGACTACAAAATCCTCTTCAAGGTACTGGCAACCAGGATGAGAGAGATAATGGAACAGATCCTCCACCG